ACTTGTTTAAACCCTGGAGTTCAAAGCTGTGGAGAGAATGATCTTCTATAGAACTTGTTTTAGAACACAATGCTAAGAAGTCTGCTTGTGTATCTTGGGCCAAGCTTCTATGTTAAAAGCTTTTGTTGAAAACTTTTAGCAAGCTTTATAACCAAGAACTAGACCTACAGATTCTCATTTCGTTTATCTACTTCCACACATTAAAAAAAAAATCTGAGTATGACAGGATGCAAAGCCAAAAAGGACAGGAAAGCATCAGTAGTGATCAGCCAACAGTGGTGTTCAGTGCTATATACTGCAGCTGTCAAATTACACTTGCTGTTTAACAACAGCACAGGTTGCCCAAGTTTTAAAGCTCTCCCTCCTTGTTGACAGTCATTCACGTTCACTCAACAAAGTGGATGCAGATCAACATATGCCAAAATTTGGAAGTTGAAAGACAGCAACTAATTCTTGCCCACCCTACTGCACAGACAGATGTAACCTAGCAAGGGTCCCATGGAAGTACACACCAGAGATCAAGCAGCAGCAAGTTAGCAAACTTCAGCCAGCTGCTTATGATGGTCACACTCATGCTGGCTCTCAGAGAGAAAGAGCACAATGCAATAGCACTAGAGGCAAATACAGATTACTAACCTGCTGCCTGGCTATCCTGAAAGACTCCTCCCCACCCCTCTGCCGAGGGCACCAGCCACACACCTTAATCTCCCTTCTCCACTCCCAAGCCACTCTCATGAATCCTCTACCTCCCACCTCCCCAAAACTTGCAGACATCAAAGGCACCTGCCTTGAACACCTGAAGAGCAAGGGGGCCTGATGGTCAAGAAATGCAACTGTATCTTCCCCTTCCATGCACACTCTATTTTTTTTTTCCCCCCATCCCTTTGAAAAAGGTGGCAGAGATAAATGGAGAACAAAGAAACAAGAAAAAGCCACAGCTTTGGCCCACACCCTGCCTATTACTTAAGGGGGAAGGAACTCTTCCGAAAGAGGAGGAAAAAAATGTGCTGAGACACAATGGCTCAAAAGGCCAGGCAGCAAACCAGGCCACTTTGTACTGCTAACAAGGGAAACCTAATTACAGGAAGAGGGCAAAGAGGGACAGATAAAAGGGATACAAAATTTCAACATCTGTTGCCATAAAGGGATAAGAAGTGGGGAAACGCAAAGTGTCAGTTTGGTGTCAGTGACGGCGTAAAGCCACTTTCAAAGGGCTCAGGAGAGGGAGAAAAACCGAACAAGAAATTAGAGGGTTCTTAAAAAAAACAAAAAAAACCAAAAAAACAACCAAAAACCGCTCTGCCAAAAATGCCTTCAAAAGGGGGAAGGAGATGGACAAAGACTGGATATTTTAAAGGTAGAGGATCTGGAGTGGCTTGCAGGGCACAGCTAACTTTGGCTCAATTTTCACAACAGCTCTTGTGCCCTGCATCTGTCATGTTGTGTCACAGGGAAGGACAATGTAGGGCTTGTGCATTCAGAGTGTTTACAGCCTGAGGACTATCATGCCAGACAGATCACTGGTCCATTTCAAACACTGGGCTTGGCAGAATAGCTCCAAGAGTTTCTGCAAAGCAACCTCTGGAGTATCCTGCCTTATAAAGAAGCATCCTTGAGGCAGGGGCATTTGTAACCTAAAGACAGGCAGAGATCCCCGATAGGCTGGGGAGCAACAGTTCTCCACAGGAAAATGACAAATGCTGGCTTTGAAGCTGTTCCCAGTGGTGCATCATGCTCATCTCCCAAGGAGTTTAAACACCCAAAGGAGATAGGAGGTAGGAAGACGAAGAGAAAGAAAGACAGGATCTGAAGAAAGTTTCCTTTTCTCTTGCTTGCCATTAATTGGTCGTTCTGGTGAGCCATGCACTAGCACTGGCAGATGAGATAGGGAGGTTTGAGCAGAGAAAGACAAAAGGGAGCAGAGAGACCTGCAAGAGGGGCAGCTGCCATCATATCCCTCACTGGCACAGAGGGGCAAGGGGACTTGCAAGAGGCCAAGGAGTCAGCAAGGCCTGATACTTGATGCAAGGACACAGTTTAGTACCCAGTGGCCCACACTGCTAATCATTCTCCTTTCCTGTGCAGATGTCTAATCACCTAAGTTATTCACAGCCCCCCTCTACACACACACCTTGATCGTGAGTGGCAATGAGAGCACAGTAACTTCCCCACATCTAAAAGCAATCAGATGGCACAATGTAGCATCTGTGGGATGAGGTATGTCCTCCAGAGGTGCAGCTAGCCAGCTTCAAAAGCGTAAGAAAAAAAAAATCCTCCTTCATTACAGGAGAAAGGGCCAGGTGTAACAGCAGCTGGAATTTCAGCCATCAGAGACAGTGTCTTGGCATCACGCGGTCATTCCCCTGCTTTAGACTCCCCTTGACAATTGCTTGTTGCTGCCTGTTGCAGCTTTGATCCAAAGCCATCATCTCAGCAGAGTCAGAAATGAAAGACAGTTGTGGGGGTGGGATGCAGCAAGAGGCGTTTCCTTTCCCCACTAAAAATTTCCTCGCTGCCAAACCCAACCAAGCCCTTTTCAAAGCCCAGAACATATTTCCAGGTGAAAACATTATCTCCTTCCTCTTCGAAGGACGAGAATAGATGCCCCAGGGTCAGGGAACAGCGAAGGTCATAAATATGAAAACATACCATGACCAACAGCTACAAGCACCAGCCAAGGACTTATCTGGCCTGGAACTAAGAAGATCAGTACACAAAAGGTTATTTAAGCTTTAAATCCTTTTGTAGCATGTTCCAGCTCTCAGCTGTTGGGGAAAAAGACCACCTACCCCAAGGGAAGAGAGTGCTGGAGAAACTGCTGCAATGTTACACACGCAGAAAAAAGCTCAGCTAACTGAACTAACTGGTCTTAGACAGCACTAAACATCTAAGTGGTGCTAAGGATCCTGTAGTTTTAAAGAACACGTATTAAGGATCACTCTACCCTGCCTCATTATTTTGACAGAGAAGTTACCTGGATTCTGCTCTTAGAGATAATGTCCTTCCCACGTTCAGCCTCTGCAGGTCAGACTCAGGCCCTTTGTGGCCACAATGTAGGGGTAAGCAGCAAACTCAGGGGGCCTGGCCCTGTCTGCCAGATGTTATCAGGACACATTGAGCGCAGGAGGAGCTTTTCAGTCCTGGGTAGCTCTAAGATTTTGAGTTTCCATGCCACACTCTCACTTCTGGAGTCTGACCAGGGAGACAACATGCACAAGCCTCAAAGAAAGAAACAGCATTTCTCTAGGACATCACTTTTGGCAACCACTGGAGCCTTTGAAAATTAATCCAAAGCTCTGCTGGGAAGAACAATAGTTTGTGGAGAAGTCAAGACCTGGAAGGACAGGTCTGTACTCCTTCACTATGAATGATCACATCAAGCTTCACGTGCTAGTTTCCCAGCCATGCTCCCTACTCAGTCTCCTGCCCTGCACGTGCTGACAAGACTCCCAACTCACACACAGGTCCCCAGAGAGGAAAAGACCCAGTGGCATGGTGCATTCCAGCTGTGACAGGTGAAGAGGGAAGAATAAGTTTGACACTCCAGCCATTGCAACAGAAGCCCAGTAGCCTAGGTTGCCTTGGCTTTTTTATTTGCCTGTCACTCAGGCTTTGACGTTATTGAAAGATCAAACTCCGTTGTGCCTGTTCATTACCTTAATCCTATTTTCTACACAGCTTTATTATCTCTTCGGGCTTCCTTGGGAAAGGCTGTCAGAGAGGTTAGGGCAGGGGGGAGAGGGTTGCCTATCTCCTCACCCTGTCAGATGCTTCTATTCAAGAACGGCTGGAAGACTCGATGGGCAGGGGTATCGCAGTATAGCCTACATCCTTCTGGGGTACTCCAAAGGCACCAATGGACTAGGTCACTGAGATACATGCACTACAGCTGAATGCACTGGCGCTGTCTTTCCTGCTCTAGTTTGTCCTTTGTGGGATGCATCCTTTGCAGTGTCTTTTTTTTGGTTACTTCAGAGAAAAACAAACTGATTTATATTTGTATTTGATGCAGTTGACTCAGACAATCTAAACTACCTAAACTACAGGTTAGAAGGCAATTGGCCTCAGACCAGACCTGCATCCACACCAATCCTCCTCTACCTCCTTTCCCCAGATACAGCTCTGTTGACACCCCTCAGGCCCCTTCTGCCATTGCTCCCCTCTCTTGACCCCCAGAGCCCACCAGCTCACCTCAATCCTGACAGCACTCCCTTGATAATCTGTGCTGTGCCACTCCCACCAGAGCATACCAGTCCTGGAAAGCTGAGCTGCAGTTCAATAATCCTGCCAGATATTTGCTATCTGTCCATCACTACACAAAGACCCCCAGGCTGAGAGTTTCAAATTTGTCAGCAGTTGAGTCTCACATCAGGATTTGAGCCCAGCATTTCCCCAGTTGCTAAGGTCAGCACCTTCACTGCACAGAAACTACTCAGTGGTCCCAAATCAGAGGCCACAGCAATTACCCTCCTCAATGCTTATTAAGACAACATGCCTAAGTCACTTCCATATATAACCTGTTGCCACCCCTCACCTCCTGAGCTACCAGAAACACCAGCCAGAACAAGATGACTATAGAAACTGCATTTGCCTCTGGCTTCTGAGCACCACAGCCAAGTAGGTGAATAGGAGGATGCAGATCACCTTCCTCACCCCTCTGGCTCAGGCTGAAGCATCAACTGAGGCAGATGAAAGGGAAGGCATAATGGTCATATTTTGACTGTACATGGGTAACAGGAAGAAACAGGGATGGTTGTGCCATCAACTAGAAAAGCTGGGAAGAAAAGTTGAGCTGCTCCCTACTGAACCAGAACCATCCCCCACATACACCTTTCCACACCAGTTTGTTCCGTCCCCTACTCCGTCCCACATCTCATGTTTAAACAGCCCTTGCCTACATGGACTAAAGGAATAATTTTACGGCATCTCCAACATTGCATTTCTCATTGTTATTCACTTTTCTCATCAAGTCCCTCCCTATAACCTGAAAGCTCACTCACCTCTCAAGGTCCCAGATTCTCAGAGGTGAGGTGTGTCCACAGCAGGCTGTCCCCGTCACAAATGAGCTGTTTAAAAAAAACAAGCAAACAAAAAACCCACTTACTAATCCTCATGCTCTGAAGAAATAGTGCGTGAGCAAAACAGAGAAAACGTGCTACAAGACAGACTCTGGATTCTGGTTCAAGACTATTTCAGCATATTCTACTGCATTTCACAAGGGGCAAGCAGCAGCAAAGGGAGGTGCTCCAGAGCTCTCAGTAGCTGAGCTTCCCAGATGCAGCAGTTCACAACTGAAGATAATTGGCAGGAGGTAAAGATGTATTTGCATATGCAAAGAGAAAACCTAAAACAGGAGCAGCTGTAAATTGCAACAACATTTTCAAAACAGTTAGCACAGTACTCAGCACATTTCATATACAGTCAGTGCCGTAAGCTGAGGAAAGACCCTATGGAAAATTCCCTGTTACTTCCTACTTCGTGTCTCGCTTCTGTTTGCTGGCAACTTCTGAGCACAATCATGAATTGGCTGCAGCATCACAGGCCTAAGGAATCATAGAATAGACATCTCCAGTCCAGCCTGCTCAAAGCAGGGCCAATTTCAAAGCTGGATCAGGTTGCCCTCCCCAGTGCTCAAGCACTCTTTAATAAAAGCAGCACAGCTCTCCTGCAGCAGTATCTGGCTCAGTTCACACTCTCCAGCAGGGTCCATTCCAAAGTCCTCTTTGGTGATGCTATGTTCCTGCTGCACATGCTGGCTCCAGAGATCACCTGACAGCCACCAGCCTCAAACTAGTTGATAAGACAGGAACAAATCCTTAAAATCAAGCAGCAGGAACATGGGTGCTGTGGCTCTCCACACCACACTGCTTGTTTTGTGCCAACTTCCTATCCTCGGTCCAAATAAGAGAAAGCAGCTCATACAAAGCTTTTTAAGTAAGCTATAAATGACCTCTCACAAAGCCACATTTATTGCAGCTACCAAGAATAAAATGCCAAAACTATGTTTAAGTCATTGCAATAAGGATAGCATGAATGCAGGAAACAGAGCCTGCTTTAAATAAAAGCCAGCTCTATGCTTTGCCTAAACATCTTTTGCAGCATGACATGGGGCTGGCAGCTGAAAGAAGAAAGCAAAATAAGGAAAAAATGTCACATCTGTAAAAATAGCAGTTTTTAAACATTTCTTTGATCCTCTACAACTTTCTTCCTTTGGAAGTCAGAAGGTGTCTCCAAGTCTCTACTGTACCAGGAAGGGATTCTTGCAGCGTCCTTGACTTCTGTGAGAAGCACTACTGCTGGTGTTACAAGGCACCCAGCAGCAAAGTGGTGAACATGCACTCAACTCAATCAAAGCCAGAGAAGAGCCATGTGGAAGCTGGGCAGGAACTCAGGACTCTTACTTCTAGCTCTGTGGTTTAGCTGAGCAATTGGCTTCTCCAAATCATAAGGCCAAAGCAGCTCTGCCAATATACTCTGCAAAAGAGGCAAGCAGATAACATCAAGCCATCTCAAAAGAGCTACAAGAACCAAGGAAGAGCTACAGCTACCAAGGCTCTCTTTTTTTTGCTGGCTTTATCCCTCCAACCCATGATCACATACCTGGAGGTATCCACAAGTCCTGTAACCCTTAGCTGCCCTTTAGGGCTAGACAACACCTGCAGCACCAGAGCTATTTCAAAGTCTCTCCAACCAGGCTGTCTTACATGCAAAATCCCAGGTTCATTGACAGTGCACATGCGATTGACCCAATGCACCTGTAGCACAGGGCTCTGCACAGATGCTGCAGGGTGCACACATTATTATTCTCCGTAGAAGTCCCTAACCGAAGTCCAAGAGTCTAAGAAAAAGCCAATTCTTATCGCTGTGCAGCAGCCACAAGGACCAATTAAGAAAGCGTGCAGGATTTCATACTTGGAAACAAGGTCCCTCCTCAGTACCTGCCTTCTCTCCACCATACTGCAGGACAAGAGGGAACATTTCCCTTTTGCCAATGTCTCCCATCTCAAAGGAAAACAAGGAAGAGATACCCACTCTGACAGCTCAGCAGTCAAACCCCATGTCTGGAAAGCAGCACTTTGGTCAGGGAGTCCCTCAGCTGCAAAGCTAGGTGTTGGGTTCTGTCCCTCCCTCCCCAAACATAATCCATTAATAACTACTAAAGCCAATTACTGTGGTTAGAAACATAATAGCAGTCAGGGAGTCAGTCAAGCAGGCAATTGGGTGCTTAAGTTTTTTCTTTTGGGGGGACAAACTGACTGTGTCCCAGCAGAGAACGCCCTCACGTGGGAGACAGGCCCCTTTGTGCAGAAGGTATGCACAAAGCTTTGATGGTTGCCACAGGTCTAAATTAGCATGGAGGCACACCAACAGGGAGAAAAAGGTGGGAGGAACAGCAAGGTCTAATCCCTGCTCATGCTGTCAGTTCTGGACTTCAGCTTTCCCTCCTCAGTTCTTACCACCCACCCCTCCAAAAAAAACAAAAAAACCCACCCCAAAATAGCATTAGATGAAGAGATTTCTCTCCAGCATCACATACAGGCCTCAGGGCCACAAACAAGTCTCTTCTGGGTAAAGCTGGCTCCATTCAGTCAACAGGAATTTTTTCTCATCCTTCAGCAGGATCAGGTTTGCAGGCCTTATCTTTAACAGGCTGGAGCCCATTAGCAAGCAAAGATAAGAATTCTCCCAGAAGAGTGGGGCACCTTCACTGCCAGGATTAGAAAGCGGCATTCACAAGACATGCACAAGAAGTGGTGCCAATGAGAAATTGTCAAAGCCTGGGAGCGAACTGACCTGGAAGTCTGGACTCCCAGGGGATGATACAGGGCCCCTCACCTTGAGTCTGGTCTGCAGGCATTCACCTTCAGCCCCCAGGCCTCCCATAACTGGGAACTTCACAGGGGTGACAGTTTCACTCCAAGCAAAAGGGCAAGACAAGTCAGCTTTGGTAGGTCTAAAACAACATGCAAACTGGAGCTAAGCAGGTGAAGCCTGGCTCCAAAATTTCTGAAACATTGTTCAGCAGAACTGAAGCCTTTTACCAGACTTGCTTCCTTCAGTTTACCTTCAACAAGGCTTTTTGTCTTTGGAAGCACAGAGCACACACCAAAAACCTCTGACCTAAAGAAGTGCAACATCTTCACAACTGCTCTTGCCAGCTGCCCAAGAGAAACAAATCGAGCTGAGTTACTAGCTTAGTGAGTGTCATTTATTTTGCCTATAATGCTTTCAGGAGTCAAAGATACTGAGGAGTGACTAGATTGGGAAGAGTAGAGCACAAGATACCCTATATGTATGACCGCAGGGATGACCCATCTCTCTGAAGTATATATGATACTACTGATGTACACAGACACTGACCAGACACATCTACATGCTACATAAAAACTTCTATGTCCAAGCTTCAGATGGCCTTGGAGATGCAAAGTCTCTTCCCCGCTAAGCTTTCCTCTGCCCTGTGAAAGCTGCTGGGTACCATGACTACAAGCTCCCTCCAGAAGGCTCCACTAATGGGAAATGAGCACCATTGCAGGGCTTCCATAATGGGGCATGGAAGGCCTGGATCTCCCAGGAGGTGAAAACAAGCAAGCCAACATCACATTTCCATCTCTGCTGTACCAGGAAGGTGAGGATTTTGCAGAGCATTGAGACACACATACTTCATACACAGCATGTTTTTGTTGTCCAAAGCAAGGAATTTTCCAACTCATCTGATACTTGATGTTCTTTTTCCCATTTGAAACTCCCTACTGAGAAGGAGGAGAGAAAAAGAGGAAAAAACCCTCCTCCTGAAGCCAGACCTTCTTCATGCTACAGAAGAGACATTTCATTAGATATCATCCCCCCCACGATAGACGCTGAGCCAGGGGATGAGAGAGAACACACATACTGGCAGTGCTGGTGAAAGAAGCACAAGAACTTCTCTCCATCTGACTGACTTGTGGTTGTTGAAGATCCCATGGCATTTCTGGCAACAACAGTAGTGCTCTGGCTACAGTCCAGCTGCAGTGATCCCATGACTGCTCCCAAGGTGCCAACTACACAGTTTCACCCCACCTGCAGCATCCCTCTTTACCCCATCCTGGACAGAACATTGCCAGATATGGATGAACCAGAGGGAAAGAGATAGCTCCTCATCAGCCCTTTTGGAAAGATGCTGTTTGTCATGAGCCTTGGAAACAGTCTGCACTCCAAAGATACAAATCCCACTGTACAATACATACCTTCCTCACTGTCAACCCAGCCTTCAGAGCAGGCACTGCCTGAGCTGGGAATCCTGCAATGGAAAGTCATTGAAGGATCCTGGGTGAAACAGGCCCTTTCCAATCTCTTCTCTCTAAACTTCCCCCATGCCCCAGGCCTGAGCCGTTCCCCTGTACTGTAAACAGATTGCTTCTCAAGTCCTATTCTGCTCTTTGGGGATTTCAAATCCAGAATCTGCCTGACACGTGCAAGAGCCTGTTCCTTCCTCTTCACACAGTCCCCCGCCCCCTGGAATTGGACATCGTTGTTCCATTTTGGAGACTATTATATACGGAGACTCATCGGACCAGGAAACAAAGAAGTTATTACTTGACAGAGCCCTGCAGCTGGGAATGTGGAAGGCAGGGGGAAAGGAGGGGGAGCACTGAGGGAGACAGAATGGGGGGGCTGGTAGCAGCATTATGAAAGTGATCAACAGAAAGGACAGCTCAAAGATGGGAAACATCTTTTTTAAAAAGTCTCAAGTGGGATGAGAAAAGAAGGAGAGGAGAAAGAAAGTCCAAAATGGAGAGTGGAGAAGAGAGAAAGCAGTTGATGCTGGCGGTGCCATGGGTTAAACACACGGGTCTGTGGGTTTGTGTAGCCTTTGATTCAGGACTGACACGCTTTGGCAAGGGAGGCCACCGGAGCTGTCAAATCCTTCACCAACGTGCCCATCAATTGTATTCAGCTCTCCCCGACCCGCACTGGCATTTTAATTACTGTTGGGTAAACTAATTTGTACAAATGAAGGCAACTCTGCCTAATAGAATATGCAAGCTCTCTGACCTCTGACAGGCGATGACACAAGATACAAAGGAGG